ATCTGGATGATGCAGACCATGTGCTCCCCGCAGTGGCAGCTCGGTAGGTCTCGTGCTTTGCAGCCTCCTCTCCCGAGCCTTGGGAGAGTTTAGAATCACGGGATCACTGGGGAAAGACCTCCCAGGTCACCGAGTCCCACCTGGGACCCGTCCCCGCCGTGTCAACCAGCCCGGAGCACCGAGTGCCACGTCCAGTTTTTTCTTGGGCACAGCTCCAGGGATCGAAGAACCACGTCCTGCTCGGGCACTGTGAGCTGGAGTGAAAGATCTTTTATATCATTCCAAAAAAAAAAAGAAAGAAGAAAACAGATGACCTCACACGTGTGGGGGGGGCAGCAATCCCAGGCTGTGCTCCAGTTCCAGCTGGAAATTCCTCAGTGGTGGCTGCACGATGTGCCTTGCTCTGTTATTGAAAAAACTGCACGGAACCAGGCTCCCCACAAGGGCAATAACGGGGAGGGGAGGCTGTTTGGGAAGCCTGTGGAAGCCCATCTTCTGCAGGGCGGATAATGGGCTCGTGCTGGGCTGCAGTGGTGGAGGCCAGATGGGCTTTGCAGGGGCTGCTCCGAGTGAAACGAGGCCACTCAGGGTGTCCCAGGCAGGGCAGGGCAGGACCTGCTGCTTACCAGCTGCCTGGAAAATGGGATGTGGAGATAACACCGCCTGTGTTTGCTGCAGAAGTAAAAACTAATGGTTATAAAACCCAATTGGCAGAGGAATGACCCCGGGGGTGCCCCGGGCTGCACTTAGATCCCAAATTGGATTCTAGGTTGGGAGCAGGGGGGGGTGAGATTGCTCCTGATCAAATTATCCTCTGGGCAGGCAGGAACATCCATCCAGTAAAAGCAGATGACGCTTCTTTTGAGCAAGGATGGGTGAGGGGGGAGCAGCACCCAAAGATTCTGGCGGTGGGAAGAAGGGGCAGAACTCAGGGGAAAAGAACTCGGGGCTGCCCTGTCACCACTGAGCCCCAGGGGAACCTTTGAGGTGACTTAGAGCACCCAGAGGTCAGCAGACAGCAAAGAAAATCCCAAATACATTCCCTAAGATGTTTGGGTACCTGAGATTCGAGAGCAGTTTGGATTTAGACACAGTCCAACGACAAACCACCACCTCACGTGCTGTTCTGAGCCCAGGAGCCTTCTCTGTTTGTCTCCTTCAGTTCACCCACTCCCATAAAATCTGGGAAAACAACCCTGAAGAGCTTGGACTAAACCTGCAGGATTAACCATGTTCTGTAGCTCTTAGAGAGAGGAGAGAAAATTAAACACAAATCAGTGTGTTCCAATAAGGAAGTTGTCCCAGGGAAATGGAGCTGATCAGTTTTATTTATAGTCAGCGGGAGAGTATATGAAAAATAAACAACTGGTAAAGCAGCAGGCAGAGCAAATATTTAATTTTGAGCTGCATAATGATCCCGGAGCTTTTTACTTAAGCAGTTGTTTTATTCCTCTCTATTTAGCAGATGAAAGGGGGAAAGGTGGAGGAGGGAGAAATTATGGTAGGAGGGTGTTCAGGTGCCTGTCCTGGCTCGGGCCATTCTCCCAGTGAGGGGATGAAAATTGTGCAAATGCCCTGTGTTTTCTTGGGGGTGACACACTGTGTTTGATTCCTCCCCTCTGCCAGGGATGGCGTTCCTCCCCGCCAGCATATCCTACCTCATCGGCACCAACCTCTTCGGGGTCCTGGCCAACAGGATGGGGCGGTGAGTGGGACCAAACCAGAGGTTCTGGCTCAGCCCAGCCCATCCCGGCTGGAATTTCAGCGGGAATGATGCCCGTGGTGCTGTGCAGGCTGAGGACTCCTGCCCTCTCCCCCGCTGCAGGTGGCTGTGCTCCATGGTCGGGATGGCTGTGGTGGGAGTCAGCCTCCTCTGCGTGAGTACCAAGAGCCTGGAAAAGGCTTCGGGGTGGCTAAATTGTGGCCCTCCAGTGCCTGAGGGAGCTGAAAGGAAAGACAGGGAGAGACTTTTTACAAGGGCCAGGGCGAGGGGGAATGGCCTCCCACTGACAGAGGGGAGGTTCAGATCAGAGAGCAGGAAGAAGTTCTGCCCTGTGAGGGTGGGAGGCCCTGGCACAGGTTGCCCAGAGAAGCTGTGGCTGCCCCTGGATCCCTGGAAGTGTCCAAGGGCAGGTTGGAGCAACCTGGGCTGGTGGGAGGTGTCCCTGCCCATGGCAGGGGGTGGCACTGGATGAGCTTTAAGGTCCCTCCCAGCTCGAACCATTCCATGATTCCCTGATCTACTCCACGTCTCTCCTCTCAAAGGTACCTCTGGCCACAAACATTTACGGGCTCATCGCCCCCAACGCTGGGCTGGGCTTTGCCATAGGTAAGCTGGGCTTTGCCACAGGTAAGCTGGGCTTTGCCATAGGTAAGTTGGGCTTTGCCATAGATAAGCTGGGCTTTGCCATGGGTAAGTTGGGCTTTGCCATGGGTAAGTTGGGCTTTGCCGTAGGTAAGCTGGGCTTTGCCATAGGTAAGCTGGGCTTTGCCATAGGTAAGCTGGGCTTTGCCATGGGTGCCATGGGTAAGTTGGGCTTTGCCGTAGGTAAGTTGGGCTTTGCCATAGGTAAGCTGGGGGTGCTCAGGCTGCTCCAGGGCTCTCTCCCCAGGAGCAGCAGTGCCTGAGCAGCCCCTCCTTGCTCCGGGCAGGAATGGTGGACTCCTCCATGATGCCCATCATGGGTTACCTGGTGGACCTGCGCCACACCTCCGTCTACGGCACCGTCTACGCCATCGCTGACGTGGCCTTTTGCATGGGCTTTGCTGTTGGTAGATGTCCTTCTTTTCTCTCCTTTTTTTTAAAAACAAACAAACCTCCAAACTTTTTAAACACTCTTTGCCATTATTTTGTTGGTTTTTTGCGGGTTTTTTTTGTTTGTTTTTTTTTAATATGAAATACTCGCTGATTTGTAGCATTAGAACAACACAGTAAGTTAATAGTAATTATTATTATTTGGACTATCTCAGAGTACACTCATAGCAGTGAGGGAGCTCTTACTCACAGGGGGACTGCTCGGTGTGTATCTCACTCTGGTTATCACCCCCTTTCCTCCACACAACATTCACCACAACCACCGAGTCCACCACAGGTCCCCTCCAAAGCGGACAAACCTCCCCCTCTCTGGGATTTTTATCCCTTTTCAACGTTCCAATTTGCAGGTCCTTCCACGGCCGGGGCGATCGTCGGAGCCGTCGGCTTCCCCTGGCTGATGGTCAGCATCGGAGTGACCAACCTGGCCTACGCCCCCCTCTGCTGGTGCCTGCGCAGCCCCCCCGCCAAGGAGGAGAAGATGGTCAGTCTAGGGGAGTTTATTGGGGTAGAGGGGGTTCACAACCCAGGGATTCGGGGGAGGTAAGAATAAATTTGCTAGGGATTGCGTCTTCTGGTTTGGGTGCTGCTCTGCCCTCAAAAAGGGACAAAAATCTCAGATAAAACCAGGTGAGTTTAGAGGGTCCTTCCCTTAACTCTTCCTTAACTTGTATTCCCTGGGGAGAAGTTGGTAACTCCTGTTAAGTGTTCAAATTAATCACAGTTTTTACCAAAGCAGGATTTCTCCTCTCCTCCACCCAGGCAATCCTGAGCCAGGAGTGCCCCATGCAACCCCAAAGCTACACCGGGCAGAAACCCCTGCGGGAGTTCCCTCTCTCGGAGGACAGTGACGTGGAGGAGGAAAATGTGGAATAGGCAGTGCAAGGATGTGTGCCCTGCTTCAAAACCAATATTACGGCTACAAACACAGATTCTACGAGCAGTGGATGTATCAGCCTGTCCTGGAGAACAGCTTTGTCCCAGGCACAGCCTGCCCGTGCCAGAGGAGAACACCCCAGGGCTTTGTGAATGTCTTTAAAGCACTGACTGTTCCTGAAAGAAAATGGAGGGGGGGAAAAAAGAAAAAAGAAAATGATATCAGCTCTGGGAGATTTCTCCAGATCCTCCTCTAAACCCCAGGATGAAGCTGTTCTGTAACAACAGGGCACAATCCATCTGTGCCACCGCCCGTAAAGATGTCACTGTAATGTCACTGCTCCACGCTCCTCTGGAGACACTAAAAAAACACTCATTTCTTTTTGCTGTAGCTTGATGTGTCGTGCTGTGTCCGTGCTGCTCAGAGCTGCCTGTGTGTCCTCCCCAACGTACATTAAACGAATTCATTTGTTTGGAGAACTCTAAGAAACTGAGGTGGAAATAAGGTGTAGACTCCTACACAAAAAAAGCCACTTAGATAATTCGTGATTAATGTTATTTACATATATACAAATATATATGTATACACCCATATATATACAAACACATGTATGTACACACACATATATATACATAGATACATATCTATACATACATATATACATATGTATATATGTATATACATAGATACATATATATATGTGTATATCTATATTATACATATAGATATGTATATATATTATATATATGTATATTATACCTATATTATATATATGTATATTATACATATACATATACATATAGATAGATAGAAATATATATGTATTTCATATATATATATATATACACACACAGATAGATACATAGATAGAAATATAGATGGATATATTTCAGGTGCTGCCAGTGCTGCAGCTGGAGAGGACGAGGGGATTCTTGGCAGCTGTGAGGGGACGCTTTCCCCCAGAATCTGCCCTTTCCCTCAGGGCTTCCACAGCGCAAACATTCACCCTCACGGCTCCAAAACCACCGAGCTGGAGGCGCCCAGCGCCCGGCCGGGTCTGCCATGGAGAACACCCTGGGCAGGGCTCATCCAGCGGCCCCTCAGGGCTGTGTTTGTGCCACGGGTTTGTTTCATCACCGCCCCTGAGGGGCCCGCCAGCCAATTACAGGGGCCGCCTTCCCTTTTGACGTCACTTCCGCGTTTCCGGTAATGGCGGCGGCCCTGAGCGTGTGGGGCCGGCACCGCTGTCCCGTCCCTGGGCACCGCTGTCCCGTCGCTGGCACCGCCACTGCTTCGCTGTCACCGCGTCGCTGTCGCCGCCACCAGCCACCATGCAACTCGGACGATGTTGAGGCCCGCCGCTCCCTTCGCTTCGGCCCGGCCGCGCCTCCGCCCCACGTGGCCGGCGGGGGGGGGGGAGCGGGGTGTCCCCTGTCTCCCAACACCCGGGGGTGGCCGATGGGCAAGAGGGGGGGGATGCAAATGGGGGTTTGGCAGCAGCAGATATGCTGTGCCTGCGCCCCTTGTGACTCCGCACCCTGCCCTGCCAGCGGGGTGTCCAGTGTTTGTGGGGTTCCCCCCGACAGAGCCGCACCGGGGGATGCTGGAGCCGGGAGGAGGGCCGGGGGGCCGGGTGAGGGGTGCCGGGGTGTGTGACCCGCTGTTTGTCCCCGCAGATTGTCTGGAGCATGCTGGGGAACAGGCAGTTCTGCTCCTACAAGATGACGTGAGTTTTTGGGGGGCACAGGGTGGGCTGAGCCCGGGGGGGCTGTGGGAGGGACACACTCGGGTGCCCCTCAAATCTCGGCATGACCCCCTGTGCCACCACAGCCACACATGAGGCTGCAAGAGGCAAGTGGGCAGTGGGGTCTTCCTGCCCTTCCCTACTTAATTAATTCCCTCTCACCCCTTTTTCCAGCACCAAAACCCAGAACTTCTGTCGCAACGAGTACAACCTGACGGGGCTGTGCAACCGCTCGTCCTGCCCGCTGGCCAACAGCCAGTACGCCACCATCCGCGAGGAGAAAGGTGGGATCCCCTCTCCTGGGACGCCAGGAGGGATTTCCTCGTGGAAAGGGTGTCCAGGCATTGGAAGGGGCTGCCCAGGGAGGTGTTGGAGTCCCCATCCCTGGAGGTGTCCGAGGAATGACTGGACGCGGCACTCTGGGCTGGTGACGAGCTGGGGATGGGGCACAGGGTGGACTCGTCTTTCCCACCTGGATGTTCCTGAGCTCTGGCAGCTGCAGGGAGCCCGTGGGCAGGGAGGGGGTGAGGGGCACCCTGGCTCTGGGATGTGCTCAGTGGGAGCGTGTTCCCTGTTCCCAGGTCGGTGTTACCTGTACATGAAGACGATCGAGCGGGCGGCGTTTCCCCGGCGCCTCTGGGAGCGGGTGAGCTCAGGGGAGCAGAGGGGTCACAGAGAGGGCTCTGAGGGCCTTTACTGAGGGGCAGGGAGGGCGTCCCCATGACAAGAGGACACGGCCTCAAGCTGTGCCAGGGGAGGTTCAGGTTGGACATCAGGAGGAATTTCTTCCTGGAAAGGGTTGTTAAACACTGGAAGGGTCTGCCCAGGGAGGTGGTGGAGTCCCCATCCCTGGAGGTGTCCAAGGAACAACTCAGTGCCAAGGTGGGGATCGGGCACAGGTTGGACTCAATGGTCTGGGAGGCCTTTTCCAACCTCAGCAATTCTGGGAGGGATGTGACTGCTCCCAGATGTCCCTGCTGTGTAACTCAGCTCTCCCCCTGTGCCCCCCAGGTCCTGCTACACAAGAACTACGAGAAGGCTCTGGAGCAGATCGACGAGAACCTCATCTACTGGCCGCGGTTCATCCGGCACAAGTGCAAGCAGAGGTTCACCAAGATCACGCAGTACCTGATCCGCATCCGCAAGCTGACCCTCAAGAGGCAGTAAGGGACACCCCCAGCGGGCACTGCTGCCCCCCAGGACACTTACACCAGTTGCAGCCACGTTTCTAATGAGGAAAGTGCTGGCTGTTGCTGCCCAGAGGGTGACAGATTGCCTGTTGTTCCCTGCAGGAGGAAGCTCGTCCCGCTGCGCAGGAAGATCGAGAGGCGGGAGAAGAGGCGAGAGGTACCAACGCTCCTTCTGTCCCCTCTGGTCACTGCTCCTGGGCCTCAGCCTGACAGCTCCCCTCTCTCTCCTTTAGGAAAAAGCCCTGATTGCTGCTCAGCTGGATAATGCCATTGAGAAGGAACTGCTGGAGAGACTGAAGCAGGACACAGTAAGGATCCCCCTGGGAGCACACTTTAGTTTGATGCTGCCCGTGTGCAGGCTTTCCAAGTGTGCCTTCCTCCTGTGACCTACAGAAAATCCACTTTTTTTTTCCAGTATGGAGATATTTACAACTTCCCCATCCATGCCTTTGACAAAGCCCTACAACAGCAAGGGGCAGAGAGCGAGAGTGAGTCGGAGGCAGAGCAGGAAGAGGAGGAGGAGGAGGAGGTAAAGCTTTCAGCCACTGCCACATCACTCCTGCCCTGCCCCGGTGCTGAGCTGTGGCACTGCAGGGTGAGAAGAAGACATCAGGAGAGCTCAGGAAGCTTGGCCTTGGTGGCTCTTCTGCCATGAGTTGTGACCCTGTTGTGCTCAGTCCCAGCTCTGACTCTGTTTCTTGCAGGGTGTGGGTACAAGGGAGTTTGTGGAAGCAGAGGAGAGCGAGCTCAGTGACTTTGAGGTAGGTGAAGCACCAGGTGTAAACTGTCTGGTCACCTCCACCCTTTGGTGTCTCTGGTGATGGGTAAGAGCCAGCAAGATCAGATTTGTGGAAGGTACAGTCAGACTGCAGTGTATCCACACCAGCCCAGCTCCTCTGGTCAGACAGCTGGGAGCCAGGGATTATAGAAGGGACTTGGATACACGAGGTAATTTTGGAGAAAGGGGAGGTTTAGTTGCACAGCTTGCTCTGACATCACTCTTGTCACTCAATTCTTTCTCAGGACATGGATAAGCTGGAGACAAGTAGTGAAGAGGAGCAGGAAGAGGAGGAAGAAGTAGAGAAGAAAGCCTCTCACTCCAAATCTAAAGGGAAAACGCCCCTGAAAGGACCAGCCAGGAGAAAACGTCCCTACATTGAAATAGAGTATGAAGAAGAAACAGAGCCAACCACCAAAACAAAAGCAGCCTGAGGCCTCCCTGATCCCATTTGGTACTGACTGACAGGACTCCAGATCTGTCACCAGCTTTCACCACTGTGCAAGACCTTCAATAACTCCTTGTTTTATACTCCAGATGAAAAATTTTCTCTAAGAAAAGCAGGGTTTCTGTCCCAACCCCAGGCAAGGGCAGCAAGTTTGTACAACTGGATGAAGCACAGCTGTAAGGAAGAAGATCCCACACCTTCTCTACAGCCACAAAAAGCTCAGCTTGGACTGTGCTCCATGACAGGACCTGGCCTGGGGGGCACTGCTGCTTTGGGCCGTGGCTGGAGAAGCCACACGTGGCCCAGGGAGCACACACGTGTATTTTGGGGGACATGGCAGGTATGGGGCCAACAGGTGGGACAAGACAGGCAGTAACTTTAAATAAATAAACCAGTTTTACTGTACAAAATTGGGGTGGGTGCTGTCAGCCTCCTCACGTGCTCTCCTGCACCTTCCTGATGCATTCCCGCACACGGTTCTCCTCACAGCTGCTGTACACCCCTTCCAGCAGCACCTGCAACAAGAACAGCGGCATTCCTGGTGCCTTGGCTCTGGAAAAAGATTCCCAGTGGGCTTTATGGTGTTACCAACCTTCCCCCAGCTCTGCTGGGAGAGAGCTGCACAGGGCACGGCTCGATACCTGTCGATAGGTGTGGAGTCACCAGTTATTGATGCTTGAGGAAGGAACTGGGCACCTGCACACCCCACACTGCCCCTCCTCAGGTGCTGAGCCCCCGACTCACCTTCACCTGCCCTCTGGAGCAGTGATCCAGCAGGATGAGGCACTGGGTGGCCCTTTGGAGCAGGGCGGCTCTGACGGGCTCCGGCGTCGGGCCCGGGTCCGTGTGAACATCCCAGATCAGCCTCAGCAGGGCTCTGAGGAGCACGGGGAGCCTGCAGGGCATCCTGCCAGGGAGAACAGCACCACACCTCAGCCCAAAGCCTGCCCAAGCTAGGGGGAAGCCCAGCTTTGCTGAGCAGTTCCTGGGAGCTGCCTAAGGCCAGTGTGCCAGGAGGGGACGGACCTGGACACACAGGTAACCTTGGGATGGAGTGTCAGGAATGCTGTCACTGCACAGCCTGATTCACAGCACAGGGCTCACTCCACAGAGATTCAGCTTATAGCCAAGCTGATGCTTCCAGAACAGGCACAAGTTGGATGGAAACGAGGACCTGGCTTAATTTTTGGGCCAGATTTTTCAGCCAAGCAGCAATGCCAGTGACTCCTCCCTGGGACAAATCCTTAGGATTCCAGGGCCTGTTCCTCAAGCAGCAGTAACTTTGGCCCTTAAAGTGGAAACACTCAGGCCAGGGTTTGTGTTCAGGCCAGGTTTTCTGGGCACAGTGCCTCTCACCCCCGAGAGGTACCTGGGCCAGGCGTGCTCTATGGTGCACTGCAGTGTCTCCAGTATTCCCAGTCTGGCTTCTTCCTCAGGGCCATCAGAGACTTCCAGGTAGCCCAGGATGACTCGCTCCAGCCTCTTCAGGTGCCGCACCACCAGGATGCCGAGTCTGCAGGCACAGACACGGCCTGAGGGGGGAGGAGACCCTTGGATAGCCAGGCCAAGGCCCGTCCTGGTTGGGTCACTGCTCTCCCCTCCTCACAAAGGCAGGCAGGGCCCCTGTGCAGACCTGGTTCCTCTCCCCTCCCCAGCAAGGGCAGGGTGCCCAGGTGCAGCTCTGAGCTCTCACCTCCTGACGAAGGCGGGCAGGATCCCCCCATAGACCCTCCTCAGCGCCAGCCGGTGCTCCCCCTCCATGTGTGTCAGGACCAGCTGCAGCACCTCGTCGCACTGGGAGCGGGGTCTCACCTGGCCCTGGTGCCCCTGGTGCCGCTGGGATCGCTCCAGGATGGGCAGCAGGTCCAGCAGGCACAGTAGCACTGCCTGGTTTGGGGACAGACAGCAGAGCTGGGCAATCCTGGTCACATTCTGTCCAAAACACCAACCCTCTGAGCACCCCCAGCTGCTGCTGCTGCTCATCTGACAGGCCCAGCTACTCCTACCTGGATGAGAGGAGCCTCCCGGGAGTAGAGGTGGTTGTAGAGGGCGTGGAACACCACCTGGGCCCTGTTGAACTGGCACAGATCCGCACCCGGCTGCAACAACACAGAGCAGGGGGTTAGTCCTGGGCACCACACCCAGCTACAGCCTAAGGAAAGAGCACAGCCCTCCCAAACCCTGGGGCACCCTGGGCACGAGGAACTCTGCTCACAGGTGCTGGAAACGCAGGTTAAATGCTGCCACCCTCAGAAGCAGCCACTTCCTTCTCCTTATTTCACCTCCCCAGCTGCTGCTGTGCAGTTCCACTGGCAACACTTGCTGCTGTCGGGTTCGGGTGTGAACTGGCTGAGATGTGGCGAAGCAGTTCTCAGCTTTGTGTTACAGATGTAACAACTGCACAGGTTTAACCACACGGGGAAGAGAGGGCAGAACTGCTGGTTAACAGCAGAACCAGGAAGAGAAGTCAGGAATCCTAACAGGAGTCCAACCTACCCGAGGGAACGGCTGGAGCTGTGTCAGGGCAGGGTTAGGTTGGAGATCAGGAAAAGATTCTTCCCCCAGAGGGTGGTGGGGCACTGAACAGGCTCCCGAGGGTTTGGTCACAGCCCCAAGGCTGCCAGAGCTCAAGGAGCGTTTGGACAACGCTCTGAGGGATTCGAGGTCTCCCCTCCCTCACCACGTTGAGGACGATGTGGTGCAGGCACTGCACTCCCAGCACTTTGTTCTCCTCCTGGAAGTCGTCGGAGATGAGCAGTGAGGGCGGCAGGACCCGCTCCAGGTGAGGGCCCAGCCAGGGCCGGGTGACGTGGGGCAGCGTCCAGCAGAACACATGTTTGGTGGCAGGGTTGCGCTTCCAGGTGTCCCTGGAGACACAAACACCAGCTCAGGGAACACTGGGAATAATGACCACTGCTTTCCTGGGCACTGGGGCCAGCTGACAGCAAACCCAGACTGATCCCCCCCAACATCTTCCATTACCGGGCATTTGCAAAGCTCCTGGCCTCTAATCATGTGTTTTATTTATTACTTAATAGATATTCTTCATTTACCCCCTTTATATCTCATGTTTGTAACGCCTGAGCTCAGTGCCCCAAAGGCTTCCAGCACTCCCCACACAGAGTCACCCAGCCCGTTCCCTCCCCTCCCTACTCACTTGGTTAACTCCTGTTTCAGGAGCCCCATCACGGCTCCAAACCTTCCTTCCTCATCCCCATCCTTTCCCCGCAGGAATTCAGCCACGGACGCGCAGCCTGCGGCCCAGACCAGCGTCTCCAGCAGCTCCCGGGCCACTGCCCGGCTCCTCTCGGTGGTCCAGGGCCGCTCCTCGAGGTGTGTGACAGCGAAGACGTAGATGTGTGCCAGCACACGGCGCAGCGCGGGACCCACCGCGGGCGCCCCGGGGCATTCCTGGCTCCTCCCGGCATCCTCCAGCTTCTTCAGCAGGAGCGCAAACACGGCGCCCACCTGCTGTGCCCTCTCTGCCGCAGCAGCGTGCTCCCTGTCCCGGCCGGGGGGTCCGACCCGTCCTGCTCCCGCCCCGGGGGGGCCGCGGACTCGCCAGCGCGGCCGCCAGCTCGCCCAGCGCCGCGGGGCTGCCGGGCCCGAGGAGGAGCCACCGCGGGTCCGCCGCCTCCAGCAGCTCCCTGAGGGCTCCGGGGCCATCGCACAGCGACAGCCGGGCCTGCAGCAGCACCTGCTCGGCCGAGGGGACCGAGGGGGGCGGCGGCGCTGCCCGGGAGCCCCCTCCGGCCTCAGGCCACTGGCATCCATGGCGCGCCTAAAACCGCGCTAAATACACATCCCTGCCGGCAAGCAGCGCCTTCCGGGGCGCGGAGACCCCCGAGAGACCCTACAGAGACCCGAAAAACCCGCTTCGAGACCCCGCGGTCCCCTCCGCGCCCTACGCACCAGCGGCTCGAACTGTCCGCAAAATACACCCCGCTTGCCGTAAAGCCGGCGCGCCGGGGGGGGCGTGGCGCCGCGAGAATAAATTACCATGGATAATTAGCGGCGAAAATGCGGGAGAGGAGGGGCGGTGCGGGGCGAAAAGAGCGAAACAGGGGGATGTGAGGGGACGAATCGATGGTGTGGAATGCGCTGTATCGGTGTGATGGGAGAACTGCGCAGGCTTGAGATTCGGCCTGACTTCGATAGAAGTGGGTGGGCGGCGTAGGTCTGGGCGCGGGAAGGGCGTCCATTGATCCTTCCGGTTCATGACCATGATGAATGGGATGGACACGCGCCTGCGTGACGTGTGCGCCCTCAGTTACGACATCGCACAGTCCCTTCTGACCGCCGGGGGGTCCTGACGTCACACGTGACGTCATATTTACACTTGTCATGTCAAAAATAGTTGTGCCAGGAAGCGAAAGGAAATAGTGGGAGGGGCTAGTGACGTCATTGCTGGCGTGGTCACAGTTTGGAGGTGTCAAAAATCAGCATTGCTGGCATGGTCACAGCTTGGAGGTGTCAAAAATCAGCGAAAATGGGCAAATTTCAGGGGGTGCCCTGTGATGTCACTGCTGATGTCATCACTTATAGGTGTCAAAAACCAGTGGAAATGGGCAAACTGGGGGGTGCAGGGGAGCTTTTGGGTTGTGCTTATGCGCCTTCTGTGGCACCTGGGGGGGTCTCAGCATCTCTCCTTGGGCTTTTTGGGTCCCCAAAATGCTCCTGGGTCCTCGGGGTCCTGGGTCCCACCCCTTGCATTCTCTTGGGCCCCCCTGAAGTGCCCCCAAGGCACCTGGGGGGGTCTCAGCATCCCCCCCGACTCCCCCCGAACGGCCCCGTAGCCCCCACAGCTCAGACTGGCTGAGAAATCACCATTTAATAATTTTTTACACAAAACTGTACATTCCCTCCACGCCCCCCCGAGGGTGTGAGGGGGGAACAGGTACAAAAATACTCTGTGCAGCAAAGTTGGGGTGGGGGGGGAGGACACGACACCCCCCTTCCCGACCCTGTGGGGGGCTCAGCTCCCCACAGGGAATCCCGGGAGGCCCCGGCTCCGTGTGGAGCAACGAGGGGGACGACTCAAAACCCCAACCAAAGCCACGACCCCCCAGTTAAAAATCCCAGCTGGGAGATTCGGGACGAGCCGTGCGGCCCCGGGGTGGGGGGCAATGCTGCGTGTGTGGAGCTGCAATCCCACAGTCCCACGATGGATCCCACGGGATGAGGCCGGTCTGGAGCAGGGCTGGCTCACACCAGCTCGTCCAGGAGGGTCCCGATGCCAGCACGGGGCTGTGCCGGACCAGCCATGGGCTTGTTGCACATGGGGCACACGCAGCGCACCTCCAGCCACTTCACCAGGCACCTGTGGGCAGGGACACGCTGAATTCCAGCCCTGCGAGCGGGAATTCCCCCCTTCCCCGAACCCCACCACTTCCATGTGGAAGCGTCTGCACGCAGCACCCCCAAGCTCCTCCTTGGCCTAAAATCCTCCAGGACCACACGCGCAGGTCTGCTGTGGGAGGTGACAACCACGGGAGCGATGGTGAACGGCTGGGGAAATCCCGGGCACTTCCAGCTGGGAGCTCAGCTCAGTTCCCAAACCGCCTCCAGGGAGGGGGATTCCCTCCCAGTCCCCAGCCTTGTGGTGCCAGCACATCCACACATCATATCCCAAACATCCCATCCCATCCCAATCCCAGCACATCCACACATCCCATCCCCAAATATCCCATCCCAGTCCCAGCATATCCACACATCCCATCCCCAAACATCCCATCCCCAAACATCCCATCCCATCCCAGTCCCAGCATATCCACACATCCCATCCCCAAACATCCCATCCCCAAACATCCCATCCCATCCCAATCCCAGCACATCCCCACATCCCATCCCCAAACATCCCATCCCATCCCGGTCCCATCCCATCCCCACATCACATCCCTGTCCCACCCTCCCCATCTGCTCCTGAGCCGCCCTCAGCCCCCCCTGGAGCAGATGGGAAGCATCCTCAGCCTTATCCCTGTGAACCCCAAATCCATCCCGAGCCAGAGGCGGCCCCGCTCACCCCGTGCACGTTCAGCCTCCGGGCATCGCCCTTCAAAACCACCTGAGGGAGAAAAGGAGGGAGAGGGTCGAACACTGGGAAGGAGGATCCTGCCCCGGCAGGGGCTGAGCGGGGCCGGGCAGGGGCAGGGTGAGCCCGGGGGTGTTTCTGGGCAGGTTGTCCCATCCCACCCCTTTGGAAGGTGCCCTCCTGGGACGAGCAGCCTCGGGCCCTGCCATGTCCCCTCCTGCCCACCCCAAACCCGCCCAGGGGCAGCCCCGGGCGTTACCTCCTTGTACCCGAAGCGCTCGCTCTGCGCCTGGTGCCGCAGTTTGCTGCAGAGGGGGAGAGAAAGGCACCGTGAGCGTCACGGCCACGTGCGAACAGCGCTGTGGAACATTCCAGGGGCACAGGGAATCGGGGGAGCACGCCCTTCCCGGCCGGGATTTGGGGATCAGCAGCTCTGGGGCTGCCTTTGGGCAGCGGGCAGGGCCAGCCCGAGCTGCTCCCGCGGGGCAGGAACGGGATGCCAAGGGCTGGCAGCCCCGATTGTTTGCCTTAGGAAGTCGTTCACGGCGCAGGAAGTGCTGGATTTCCAGCCGGCAGCTCCCGGCCCTGCTGTGACCTTGGGTCGGGAAAACCGGCTGGCACAGAAACCCAGCGGGAACGGGGAGGAAGGGGCAGTTTGCAGCGGGGCTTCTACTCCCAGCGAGGCACCAAAACGCGCTTCCACAGCCCCAAAAACTTCTGGGGGACACAGGGGACACGGGCAGGGCTGAGCCAGCCGGGAACAGCAGCAGCTGCCCCGGCTTTGGGGTTAAAAATAGCCCTCCCCGACCAGGGAGCGATGTAAAGGCACATCCTCCCTCTCCCTGCCCGACACAATGTGTCCCTCCTGCCGTCCCCTGGAAAACAAGAGCCCCTTCCTGCGCTTCCTGCCCTGCTCCGGGAGCTGCAGGGACCACGATCCCAGCAGGGTTTGTCCCCCTGTTCTGGGGCAGGACAAGGGAAGGGCCGGGGGTGCCCCAGGGCTGCCCACCCACCCCCTGGCACAGCCCCCCGGCTCACCTGATGAAGTAGCAGCAGAAGATGAGGCTGAGCACGAAGATGAAGATGCCGGTGCCGAAAATGACCATGTAGATGTTGAGGGGCAGGTCCTGGAAGGTGAGGGGCGGCATCGTGCAGGGTTTACTGGGGTAAACCAGCCCCAGGCTGCAGGAGCACCCTTGGGGGAGAGCAGAAAAGTCAGTGTTGAGGGTGGAAAAAGGGGGAAAGGAGGTGAAGATGATGTGTTGTGAGAGCAGGGAGAGCCTGGGCTGGCTCTGTCCCCTCTGGAGTTTGCAAAGTGGGCAGAAACCAACGCCAGGACATCGTCCCGCGAGCTGTGATCCTGTGAGATCTGTGAGATCTCCCCTGGAAGAGCAGCAGCCCCTCAGAGCAGCTCAGTGAGGCACCAGCAGCTGCATTTCCACAGCCACCAAACCCTCCTCCAGCAGCACAACTGTACCCCAGGCACAACGCAGGCGGCTGGGAGACCAGGAGGCCCCGTGCTTTCATCTCCAGAGGAACACATGGAGGCTGGAAAGGGATTTAGGGAAGGACAGAGCGAAAAAAAACCACCCCAGCTTGAAAAACAAGAACAGTTGGTGTCTGTCACTGCGCTGTGGGAGCAGCAGAAGCAGGAGCTGGTTTGTCCTCGGTGCTGGGGATGCTGATCCAACCCCCTTTCCCAGCAAAACCACGGGTGCCAGTCCCAGCCTGATGCCCAGGACACCACGGGGGACATGTGGGTGTCACACAGGGCTGGTGACAGTGGGACAGTCCCGCTGAACCGAGGGGAACAGGCACAGAGACCCCAAGCCCTGAATACATCTCAGACTGTGCTCTCCCAAGAGCTGGAGCTCTGATTTCTCCTCAGCTCTCACCCAGACAGGACTTTAGAAAGAGAGGAGCCCCCTCTGTGCCCCACAGAGCAGCTCCCCCAGCCCCTTCCTCCCTCTCAGCACCCTCCTCCTCCTCAAAAACCTCCTCCACTGTGCCACTGGAGCAGCACCAGAGGAGAGCCTGCACTGTAGGAAAGGGGGTTTTCCTGCCCCAGAGGGCAGAGCCACTTGTAATCACCACAAACAATCCATCATCCACCTCGTGCCCAGGGCTGGAAAGGGAGGATTTGCTTGCTGGGTCCCCCTCTCTCCTGGCCTCCTGCTCCTGAGACCACCAGGTGCAGGAAAAGACAATAGGAAAGGTTTCATTATTTTTTGCCATTTCCTTGCTGGAAATGATTTGAGAAATGCTCCAAAAATAAAAAAAAAATCCCCCCCAAACCAAACCAAAGCATATACAGCTCTGGGAAAAAAACAAACCCACTGAGCAAGGACATGAGGTAATGCTGGTGCACCTGGAGGAGGGACAGGGGTGATGGAGGAAGCCAGGCTGGGCAGAGGGAGGTGGGTTGTGGTAACAATAACAGGCCACAGTGAAACAATAACCCTTCCCATGGGCCTTCCAGGCCATTCCCAGGAGCTGCTGAGGAGCACCAGCCTCTGTGCCACAGGAGTGGGGACAGGAAGGGTCCCAAAAGTAGAGCCTGGAGAGGGGAGAGGGGCTGATGGCCAGCAGGGCATGGCCTGGACCTGCTGGTGGCCACCTGTGATGAGCTGGAAAAGCCCTTGTCTGGAATGGCAGGAGAAGAATTGGGATGGGAAAGCCCTTGTTTGGGAGAGCAAGAGGAGAATTGGGCTGGGAAAGCCCTTGTCTGGGAGAGCAGGAGGAGAATTGGGATGGGAAAGCCCCTGTCAGGGACAGTGGGAGGAGAATCAGCTCCCCAGAGAGTGGGGGAAGCTGGGATGTGCATCCTGCAGGTATTCCAGGAGAAGTATCAGGTGGGATGGGAAAGAGAACCCCAAGAGACAAAAAACCCTCCCTAGCACACGATCCAAACCAGCCCCCCCAGCCCCCCTGCTCTGCATGGGGCCATCCCTCCCTCCCACCCCATGGGGCAGAAATCCTATTCCCTGACCCCAGAGCTGCTCCCTGAGCTCTGCTCCACGTGAAGACACCCGAAATCCCCACAGGGGGACACATCCAAGGGGAAAAGCCCTCTGGGTGCTGGGAGAGGGGCAGCCAAACAGTCAGCAGGGGAAGCCTGAGGTGGAACATGAGCTGCTGGAGCAGCCCCAGGGCGAGGGAAGCAGAGAGGAGCTGACAAGTCCCTGCCAGCCACAACACAGCTAATTGTGGACTCACCAGCTCAGCAGGGTCATTCCCGTTCAACGGGGCATCCAGGAATTCATGAGCTCTGGGCTGTGAGGCCAAAAAGTGGCCCCAGGGAAGTGCCTTCGTGGGATGGTCCTGCCAGGACGAGCCCAGGAGCTGCTGAGCTCAGCATCCCCAAAAAGCAAGGCCCTCCCACCCCTTCCACCCCTTCCCAGAAGAGCCTGGGGGGTGCCTGGGTGGTTTTGATTATCACAAACCCCTTCACCAGACAAAGGCACCCGTGTTTTTAGCTCAACAGAAATGGATCAAATCCGGGCTCAGATGACGTGAAATTAAGAGCTGATGAGCACCAAACCCATGTCACCAGCTCAAGTCTCCCAGAACCAGAACTCCCAAAGACTGGAGCAGTTATTCAGTTGGAAAAAAAAAAAAAGAGAAAAGAGGGATCAGCTGACATGTCCCCACAGACACCTGGGGACTTTCTGGACTCTCCTCCCGCACAAAGGATGCTCAGGAAGGTGCTTTGTTCTGCCAGCAAAGTATTTCTCACCCAAACTGCCAAAGCTTTGGCCCCTCAGACGCCACATTTTGGAGCATTTCAAGTCAGGACAGACACAAGTTTCCACCCGGGCTGCGCAGGCTCAGGGTTTTTGCTGAGCTGGGGCTTCTCCCTCACCCCGATTCTTGTTCAATAAAACAAATGGAAAACTCAGCAGGTCATTAAATAAAACCATTCTTTCTCCTCCCACACAAAGGCTGTGGGGCTTTGCATCAGAAAATTGAATGCAACTTCCACATAATTTTTGCTGGATGGGGTTTCCTGCAAAAGCTGCCCCTAAGCCAAGCAGTTCTCTGGTGGGGGGACAACCAGCTCCCCTCCAAACGATGGCCCCTGGACTGTGGATGAACCACAGGTGAGCAACAGGAGGAGAAGTTGTGGTGCAAAGGAGGAGCTGAGGTGCAGAGGCAGCAGTTCGGCCCTCAGGCCTTGAGGATGATTTCAATAAACCTATTTAGGCTGAAAATGGGATTTCTTAGTGGATCTCAGACTTCTTCTTCCCACCGACAGCCCCAGCTCTGTAAAGGTCCTGGACAGCACTGGGCCCTT